GGGTCATGAATCCTGAATTAAGATTTAAAGATGATTAATAGATGAAATTGTTATGACATATTATCCATTCCATATTTGAATTTTCAATCGATCTTTCTGTGCATATTACTATTTTCAATCAATAGAAACAGTTAGAAAAAAAAATAATCACCAAATCACATTTCTTTGTTTTTCATCAAATAGAAGTTAGAAATAATAAATTAAATATTAAAGTATAGTTCTCGTAGGAATGATAATTCAAACTCAAAGGTTCGCTATATTACTCATTACGATATCGTACACTTAAGATATAAAAAACGTAACAATTAACAGGAAATTTTTCAGTCCACAAAGAAATAGTAAGTTAAGAATCAATAATCTCTGAATCTATTTAGGCCTTAATTAATAGGGCACGACAGATTCCTTAAAGCAACACTTTCTTATGAACAATCCTTTAGTACAGTATTTAGAACCACCAGAAGCGTGAATCTGTTGTTAACATGTTCGGGTGATTATTCCGTATAAGACTTGAGCATCCTGGCTGGAAAAATAGTGCTTGGTCTAGGGTATGGCATCTTCATTTTAAGAAAAATAATACAAAATAGTCCATCATTAACTAATTCCATACATGGACATTTACCCGACACTCACGCCCAAGTCTAAGTAACACAGGTCAAGAAGACCTTTTGTCATCTCAAGATCGTAACTAAAAGACTTGCATTTTTGGTCATTATGGGATTCCCCAGATTATTAGACCAAACTCCAAACAGTATCTTCCAGCATAAGCCTTGTTTGACACGCAAGGTATTTTTGCACATTCAAGGGGAATACAATCTAGGACATACGATGCCATAATATTGAAAACTAGGAAAGACACATTTCTCTAAACGATGAACTTCAAATTCTGTTTTGACCATGTAAAACTCAGCTGGCACCATTGAAGTAAATAACTAATCAATTGCATCACCGAGAAATCATAAAGAATCATCCACAAGCAGCATTTAACAAGAAAACATGAAGCAGTATTGAAATTACTTGAGATCAGATGCACCCCGAATCACATGATAATTCGTTACAACATGACCCTGAACATCCCATATAAATCCTGATCCCGATCCTTGGGGCACCTCCAACACATCCAACGTAAAAGCATCCTGCCTAATACACACATACCAAACCCAAAGTCAAACTAACATTGAAAAGAAACAAAAATAAAATGTATCTCAAACTTCTTTACCTAGAAGCAAGATTAATGACGTTGACAACTGAAGGAGTGTTCTCTTGAAATAGACGAACTGTAGCGAGCTCATCGGTCTGCAATTTCCTTGGCGTAGTGACTACAAAGGCCGAGGCCGAATCAACATCAGCCACGAATAAGCAAACCGACAAGGCGACTGAAGTACAAACCACAAAGCATGAATCCAAAAGCTTCTTCAAGACGTTGGAGCCGTCTTTGGAAAGCTCAAAAGTTAACGATTTGTAATTATCGTAGTTTCGAACCGCAGAAGCTGCAATTGAATTCGAGCGTTTAGCGTTAGAAATCGATTTTACGAGTGAAAATTTGGGTATTGAATTTGTAATGTCACTGCGCAAAAGAGCTGGAGTTGTCGAGAAGAACATGGAAGCCATTGTTAATTGCACGCACAGAGGGTGGTACTTCTCCTGTTGGTTAATATGTGGTTGTACATGATTAACAGTAACTGGAAATTTTATTCTCTGTGGTCAGGTACACGATAAATGGTGGCACCAAGCGGTCATCTGGAGCATATTTAATGGGTTTTGAATCTAAACCGTTGACTGAATAAATAAATAAAGTAATCGGATGATCTAGTACAACTAGCACGTGATTCCAGAGGCTTCCACCCAAATTTAATACTGTTGAAACGGGTTAATTACAAACCAAATACATGATTTATTTATCCAAAAAATGAAGGGGAAAAAAAAAAACTCTAAATTCAAGATTACAAAATTTTGCCCAAGGGTCTTAATTCCTTCGGCACGCCATCAAAATTTCCAGAATTTACATCAGATTGAAGCACTGGTCTTTTCCCAATTTTCCAGTGTATGCCTTCAGCTAGATGCTCCTTGTTTGGGGTCAGCATTACAAAATTTGGGTCAGCCCTTTGATAACTGCAAGCATGGAAATGAATAGATGAACATTACCATATGTAAATTCAGGTGCACGATACACATCAGTACTCCAGTACATTTCTTCGTTTTGAATCAAAATAATATGTTTTCGAGCCTTCTCACATTAACAAATTTACATGGATGTAGAATGGCAATAAAATGGTCTAGCTTGTGTGATGATCTCATAAAACCGTATTGAGAAGGTATAAGGGAAAATGAAACTAACCTTGCTTCCCTAATGTTGTCCACACGAACGCTAAATCCAAATGCTGTCTCTCGTTTGATCCGATCTTTAACAGCTATAATCCATAGTAAATATAAAGGTATGAACTCAAAATGAGGGCAAAAGAATGATAGAGAAACCGCAAAGAAGGAGTTGACATCAATATCTTCATCCTCCATTTTACTCTTATGGAATGTTTAGTAAAGTTAATTGAACAAAATCCACCAATTTTATAGAAGAAAAATTGTGTCTATTGTATTGTCCAATTCTTCCTACTATTGCATATGACACATTCTCAAGGTCTCGAACAACAGCTGTCCTTAATGACGAGAGAAAATGTAAGCAGTGATGGAATAATTTATTCAGAGATATATGCAAATGTGTAAGCTTACATCTATCAAGCAATGTTAGGAGATTAAACAGCAAGCTACAATAAAATATCCATATCATAGAACAAATTTCAAGGCTTACAATTCTGCAACCAAATCACTTGGAACAAGAGCAACTACACACACAAACACGCACACAAGTATTAGATACCTGACATGCTGAAAGTGAAAGAAGGTTTCCACCATGATTTAAATGCTAAAGCTATTGATGAGCTTAAAGGCCCCACCTTTCCCTGTAAAATTGATACAATGGTATATCTTAAACCTAATTTTTTTAACGAGTACGCTATCTCAAACTTAAATGGTTAGCAACAAGATAAAATATGTGTTACCTTCAGTAAGAAATTTTTATTGGCTTGCCAAGATGTGGCAACTTGAAAAGTGGAGTCTTGAAGATTATTTGATGATTTGTCATCGTCAATTCTTCACAAAAAGTATAACATGAACTCAGATTCCACTTTATACATTATTATTGTATGCGAAATTTACAGATGGAAATACCTGGTCTGTAACTCAAAGCCAAAGTCAATGTAATTAGTGATTCCAACTATGTCATTTTCTTCAAGTGGATTTTTTACCTATGTAAATACAGATGTTAATATTTGTTAGTAATGCTTCTTTCAGTATAATCTTTCACCATTGTATCAGTTATTATTCAAACACTCATATATCCCTATCTATGGTATAATTTCTTTGAGCATCCATGCATGCATGATTATACTGTAGATGAGAATGCTCGTGGACCCGTACACACTACACACAAAGAGAGAAAGGGTAAGATACCCGTCTTTGAACCACCACGTGTTGATAGAAAGAAGCAATGAACTGCAATGAAATGGTAATGAGACATTGTAAGACATAAGTTGACCCCATATGTGAAATAAATTCCAATTCACTAGTACAAATACATGAACTTAAGTTATACAAGTATTGTTGCGGGACTAGGTAACATGATAATAAGTAAACTAGTCTCAAAGTGTCAGTTAACAAATGGCAAATAAGAGCCCTGTTGATCGATATACCAGTGTACTCATTCTAATTGAATAAACTGTGATGAAGAGAAGTTTTTAAAATGGGAAAATGGAAATGAATAGCAATTCACTAATCAGATATATTGCTGTTTGCTTACTTTCTGCTGAATTCTGTTGTTAAATTTCTGTTGTGTCCAGAGCATTCAGGTTATTGAAATAGATTTAGGATAGCAAGGAAGCCTAAGCATCTCACAAGCTGTTCGAGTTCTTTAGCAAATATTTTTAAAACTTATCTTTTATTCTTTTATTAAGAACACAAATATTTAGGGAAACTAGAGCCTTGAACAACGCTCGAACTCAAGTTCAAACTTTTATTTCATAATTGAGCCTCATTTAATTTGCTCGATGTCAATCTCAGGGGGAAGTAATCAAAGGAATGGCCTGAAAACGGCAAAACACAACTAACCTGTGAATTTTTAGCAAGTTCAAGTCCAAAATTGAAGGATGGGCTCAATGGACTGCCTGACCCTAATCCATAACCAATAGCACAGCTCCAATTTGCCAAGTTTTTGTATTTTGCTCCATCTTTGCTTCCAACTGCGTACAACATGATAGATATAACACTATAACCATTGTCCATGAAATACTGAAGAATATTGATGGCATATGCTAACTATTTCATTTTTCTCATTTTTGCCCTTTTTGTTAATTTTTTGTTTGATAAGAATATAAATATGAAAAGACTAATATATTTGGTGAAGAAAATTTGCATTGAACCGCAACCACCATCTCCGCCACACATCCATGTATTTACTTTGTTCGCACTTATTTTAGATTCTTATTAGAACTTAGGGAGAGTTCATTTCCTTGGAAGAAGGTATGGCAATGTAAATTGCCTCCATGGGTGGTATTTTTACTGTGGACAGTTGTGAGAGGACGGGTGTTAACGATAGATAATCTTCAAAGAAAATGATGTTATGTTACTGAGTGGTTCTATATGTGCAAGAGGAATGGAGAGACGATTAACCACTTGTTTATTCATTGCGTGGTGTTCATTAGCTGTGGAACAATATTCTAACTCCTCAACATATGAATTAGATGTTGCCAAGGCGTATAGAGGACATGATGCAAGCATGAAGGAGAAAACTTCGAGATAAGAATAGCAAGCTTGTTTTGAATCTTATTCTTGGATGCATTGTATAGTGTGTGTGAAGAAAAAGGAACAACTGCTGTTTTGATCAAACATGGATGATAGAGCAGTTTAGAAAATTATTTTATCTGATTTTGTATACTTGGTTTAATACTGTGGCTCCTATCTACCTTATTTTATGTTGTTTCTATTTTGTTTAAATTGATAATGCACATCTTGTGTATTATCCTTTGATTAATAAAATTACTTGATTACTTATAAAAAAAATGATGCAAAAAATAAAACATATTTAAAGTATCACAATTGAATAATATAAGACTATTGGAATTAACATTACATTTTCTGAAAAGAATAGAAGAATATACTTCTGGTGATAGTGAAAGCTGAAGGGTGAAAACAAATGTTTAACAGAACATGAAGGAGTAGGTGTAACTTACAATAACATGTTTACCTTATCAACTAGCAATTAAAATACCTAAAACACACAAAGCATTGAGGATAAAAAGGAACAATGAATTATTTTGGGTTTCTGAAAAACTTACACGTTGGTTCATATTGCACCCCAGCAGTCAGCCTTCCCATCTTGCTTACTAACCAGGCACTTTTTGGAATTTCATCTCCAACTATGGAGGGAAAAATGGTTAATATATTCCTTACATGTGTTTGTGGATGTAAGTCCATGAATATGCATACGTATCATAAAAATAATATTTATATTCAGGTAGATTAGCTGTACGCTGAACAAGGAAAATAGCCAGAAAATTTCCAAAATATGAAACTAAGTGAATGTATAGACGTGTTAAAGTTGGGATGCCACCGAGGAATGCAGATCATGTTTCCGTGTAGGGAAATCATCAATCCCCCAGTTTGATCAACCAATAGCAGTAACATACCGAAGAAAGGAATAACTGTAGCTCCAACAGACAGATTTGATGAGCCATATCTCAAACCCATAATACCATAATCTTTCGAAGATACTCTGCAGGAGTGAAAGAATCTAGACATAAGAGAAACTCAAACAAGCATACACTGACTTGTTCCGGAGGGTGTAGATTTGATTTAGATTGAAAATTACCTTTGCTTCAAAAGCACTGGGAATATGCCAAATGCTCCAAAACCAAATCTCTGGTAGTATGCGCAAGACCTCATCAGTAAAATCCTAGATGGACATGTACGACAAGCATAAAATTACTATTGTTACATTGGCTGCATAAAAGGGAAGATGACGCAAGAATTGGTTCTTACGGTTCAGTGTTGGATACAAAAAGGTCGACGAACGTGTGAGGATCATCAACATCACTACAAAAAACAATATATCTTCACTTAAAGAAGAACGACAATCAAAGAAAATGCATTTTAAGGATTTGAAATAGCTATCAATACCTTTGCCAGCGAAACTGTGCATTTCCAACAATTTTCTCCTCTGGCTTATGATCAAGTGGACCAGCAACCTGGATACGCTAAGGAACAAGCTTATATCTTGTAACCTCACATTCAAGTAGCTAAAAATATTCAAAAATGGAATAACCAATCTGAGAATAAAAAATAAAGGAAGGAAAGAAAGAAAGAAAGAAAAACTTCAACAGCTTCAAACTTTGCACATTTTCCACAGATCAGGAAGAGTCATATCTTATAAGCAATTGACAGTGAAACATAAATTCGTTTTTACGAGAATGGTTAAGAAACACAAAACTCAGGGGTCAAAGAGTTGTTTTATAAAATGTTCTTGGTGGAAAACATGGGGAAAAAAAGGAGGATCTTCTTGACTTATAAATTACACTCTTAACATGGAGAAGCCTCCAATTGCAGCA